TTGAATCAGTCTTTTTTGCAAGGATTCTTTCCGGAAGACTTCAAAAAGGCATTAGTAATACCTCTTTTCAAAAAAGGTGATCGCTCGGTGTTGTATGCAAATGATTTGTCAGAATATCTGAAAGATTGCCACCTTACCATGTTTGCGGTTGATACCACTATCACAGTTACAGGGGGAAATATTGGTGTACTGTTTACTAAGGTAAAATGCATAATCGATGGTTTTAGCTCCTGGTGTCAGCGAAACATATTAATATTAAACCCCACAAAAAGTGAGGAAAACTAATGTTCCAGATGACATCATTTCTACATGTTGTGTGTTTTGCTATTAATAAATTAGTTTTGTTTATTACCCTTCAATCGTTTAATGCAGGTACTAATTGCAAAATAACAATAAATCCAGTTCGCATTTATGAAGATGTATCTCTGTAGTTGTTCCTAAAATAATTTTTTGCTGCGAACTGGTTTAACAGCACAAATATAACATTTGATTGTCAAAAAGAAAACATCTTTATAAAATATAGTATTATGTCATAAATTCACTAATACTGTAACAGTTTTTCTCAATAAGTAATGCTTTAAGTCTGGATTTAAAAATATTAATATCTGGAGATGTTTGGACAGAGACATCGAGGTGATTAAAAACTTTGCATCCCAAATATAAATGACTTTTTTGGAATAGGTTGGTTCTGTGACAAGCAAGCACAAGAAGATTTCTGGATCTAATGCCATATTGTTGATCTGTTCTATTGAAAAAATTATCTTTATATTTGTATACATATATACATAGTTCATACAGATCAAGCCTGTTACAGTTAAGATCTTTAGTCTGCAAATAAAAGATGTCTGCAACAAACTAAACAAGACATTCTTTGCTTTAAGGCAGATGAAATCATGCATGGACACAGCAGGTCTACTAGAAATCTATTTTGCTATTGCATATTCACATATATCGCTCAGTATCATAGCATGCGGTTGCAGTAATGAATTCATCAGAGTATTCATAGCATAAAAGCGCATAGTTAGACTAATTTTCAGCATTGAACACCGGAAAAATTATCGGCTCCCACCATATACATTCTTAAATGTATGAGATTTGCTAGATCTAACATCCATGAACTAGAAATAAATGCAACGGTGTACAATTACAACATACGTCATGGTGATGTTTTGCGTATTCCAAGTCATAAGACAACGAAATATAAAAAGTCACCTTAGTAAAATGCCATAAATCTGTATAATAAATTACCAGAGCAGATCATACAAATTACCTGTCATAAAGTGTTTCATGGTAGAGTAAAGCAAATGCTGCCACAAAAATGTTACTATAGTTGTGATCAATTCCTGATAGATGATTTCCGATGAGCACTGATTTTACTTATTTTTTCTCTTACTGTTATTTAGTCTTATTTTCGACGCCTGTTCCATATTTTTACTGGGGAATTTATATACACGACTTTTATATATACATATATGATAAATACCTACCTATTTTATTCGTATCACACTGTTATTATATTCTATATATGTTTTAAGTTATTGACATACCATATGTACATACTATACCACGTTGGCAAATAAATAAATACAATTTATCTGAGACCTGTCTAGTAAACTGTAATCATTGAACACATATCCAACTTAAAAAATAAAGCTTCAACTGGTCCTGACGGCCTGACCGTGAAAACAATCAAATCAATATATATGCACATCATTTCACCACTGACATACATTGTCAATCTATCTTTATCAAAAGGGGTGATACCAAAACAATGGAAGGAAAGTAATATAACACATGTCTGTCTTTATATCTGGAAATAGAAAAATAAATAATTTAGCGAAACTTTTTGAACAATGTCTGAAATCTAGACTTATGAGAATTTCTTGAGAATAATCAAATATCTAACAGACAATTTGGTTTAAGAAATAATCTAAGCACAGAACACGCCATAATTGATCTCACAATAGAGATTGTTGACTTCTTAGACAAATCAGATAAATGTTTATGTATATTTCTCGATTTAGCAATAGCCTTTGATACAGTATCTCACGAAATATTAATAGAAAGACTAAATGAGGCAGGTATTCGCAGACCAGCATTGAACATTTTAGAAAACTATCTGAAACACAGTTATCAGGGAGTAAAAATTGGTCACATTTGCAGCATACCACTTGAAATAACAACAGGTGTACTGCAGGAAACAGTTTTATTCATAACAGCTCCCACCTCAGGGCTAATTGGTGAGAGAATGATTAATTTTCCGAATGTTTATTTTTGTATCATTTATATGTACACAATAATATGTACAGCTGCCGGCCTGACTCATGGCAGGTGAGAAGGTCCTCAGAAACAACTTCACAAATTTAACTATTTAAAATATGTTTAGCGATTTACTTTTAAACTCCATCACCAACTGAATACGGTCCTGAATTTGGATGTTTACGGTTCGAATAATCTGACAGATTGATAACAGATTTCTACCCATCTACTGCACATCTTGAGGGAGGAGCTTCTCACCGGCCATTACTCAATCCGGCAGCTTTACTTGGAGTAAAAGTATATCCTTTGAAGTGTAAACACATAAATTTGTTGACTGTTTTACCAATTTTGAGTATAATTTTTCCATTTCTTCACTAGTTTCGGATCTAGTTTCGATACATAATAATCACACTGGTGGACTGAAATATTCCTTGGATTTACTAGTCATTATGAAGAATTTTCTTTTACATTTCCGTGAAAGAATATCGGAATAGATATATGTAATAACAAATATTTGAATGTTTGTGACTACGGTTCCTTATGGCAATAACCAATGTTTTCCTTATGCCTGATGTTATCGCCCACTCCGTGTTCTCCTTGAATATGAAAATGAATAACAACTGAAGTCAAAGTCCAGTATTTTCTTCTTTTTTTTTCAATGACACTTTGCCTAACTTATAAAACATGATAATATAGTCCTGTTGGAAAAAATATACATTTTCGATATCATCTGTTGAAATCTGTTATGAAAAAAATCAGAATATTAAAAATATATAGCGTGTTTGATGTTGCAGTGACTTGAGAGCAAAACTGGAAATGGCCATAGCAAGAGTGAAAGAACTAGCAGAACAAAATGAATATCACCATAATCAAGAAGGGGAGTACAGCAGTGACTCTGAATCCCAGACAATCTCGTGTAATGTTCATCTAACAACAGCTGTGAGAAAATACCTTGCAGCTTGCATTAGAGATCTGATTCAACATGGTGCTTGTGCCGCACACAGTTCCAGTTTGGTCCCATTGATCGGATGTTTTCCACGCAGGAGCTCTCTGCAGAATACTCAAATTCATGCTTGGGAAATCATCCTGGAATATTACAAGATGAAGAATGGCGAGAAGTATAATTCCACTCCTGCTAGGAAGTTGTCACAGAGTTTCAATCTGGACATTGCAGGATCTTCACCTTCTTCTAATAAACAGAATATGCTTTGTTGTATTGGCAGTGTCATCTCTACTCATACTCCTTACAAGAGAAGTCCTGACTCTCATTTCAAAGCTTTTGTATGCGCCGCGCTGAAGTAAGTTGAATTTTATAATAGAATGTTTCAACAATTTATTGAACGATCTTAGTGTTGTCTAGATTGTAGATTGTAATCGGTTGAACGGTCGTCTGGCTTCTCAGTACTGTAACTTATAAGGTCTTTTGTACATAACTTTAATCTATTTTAGCCCTAGGAGACCTCTGACGAAATTAGTCAGTTTATCTATCTATTCTGAATCTGCACATAATGCAAATGCTTAATATCAACAAGGCGCCTGGTCCTGATGAAGTGCCTATCGTGCTACTCAAAATGTGCGTCAATCAACTCGCACCAGTATTTTGTAGACTTTTCAACCTGTCTTACAAGAAAGGGGTTTTTCCTTCTTGTTGGAAGATTGTTCTCGTGCAGCCAATTCCCAAAATGGGCAAGAAAAATCTTCCAAATAACTATAGACAGTTGCTTTGCTATCAGTGATATCAAAAATCATGAAGAAGGCTGTGAATCACTATATCCTCAAATATTTGGAAGGCTTTCAACATCTTGAGTGATCATCAATATGGCTTTCGGAAACAAAGATCAATAGGCGACCTTCTATCGTATGTCACCCATATTTGGAATAACAATCGAGAAACATAGAGAGCCAAGAGCTGTAGCACTCAATATTTCTTAGGTGTTTGACCATGTGTGCCATGAGGGTTTGATGGCCAAACTTCGATGCTATGGCTTGTAGTTACGATCTGTATAATGTTGGTGTGAAAACAAAACTTAAGTGATTATATAAGGAAGAATATTAGAGGAAACTTCTAGACATTATAGATAAAATGAAATTTGGAATGCAAGAAAGTCAGAAAAAGTGCCTATGTAATAAAAAATCCTAATATATCTGTTCATTTCATAGTGGCTACGGGGACGAATATCCATGTTGAGGAACTTGGTTTATCTCAATATGTCATATATAGGAAAGATCGGTCAATACAAACAACTCAAAAATCTCGAGGCGGAGGCGTTCTTGTAGTGGTGAAGAAGTATTTTTCTAGTAACGTCATAGATATCAACAAAGATAATGTGGAACAAATATTTGTCAACATATCTGCCAACGGCAATGAATATATTATTGGAGGAGTTTATCTTCCACCCAGCTCTCGTCAGGAGTTATATGAGGATCATTGTGCAACTGTAGATAGTGTATTGGAGAGATTTCCCGATTACAAAATTAGTAACAGATGGGATGATTATTTGATATTTTTTCTAAAGTAAGAAAACAGTGAAATAATGAGTAAAGAATGTTATTATATAAAAGAGGTGGAAAATAACGTAGGTAGTAACATTAAGCATTTCTGGAACTTCGTAACCAAAAGAGAAAAAATCATGGCTTACCTGATACAATGTACTTAGGACAACAATCATGTATAACAGGAAATGAAATTGCTAATGACATTGCACGACGGTTCCAATCAGTCTACAAACAAGACACAGCAAATACTCAATTATTAGAATTTAATCACAAGAAAACTATCAGTATGAACTCCTGTAACTTCAGCTTGGGAACCATATTGAACAAACTATACCAGTTAGACCTCAACAAAGGTCCGGGACCTGACGGAATATCTCCTTTATTATTAAAGAAATGTAGATTCACCTTGGCAAAACCTTTGTTTCTTCTATTTACTGCATCACTGAATTTAGGATAATTTCCACGTCTGTGGAAATCTAGTTTCATTATCCAAGTCAGGGGATAAAGCAAATATACAAAATCATCGACTGATCACAATTCTAAGGGCATTCCCAAAATTATTAGAGAGTTTGATCCAAATGAAAAATCCATTGAGAATCAAGTTATTATACAAGAGCAGCACGGTTCTTTCCTGGGTAAATCAACAACTACGAATTTGCTAACGGTAACCCAATTTGTGCTGTATGCTTTGGAACAAAAGTACCAAGTGGATGTGATTTACACAGACTTTTCCAAGACGTTCGGCACAGTTAAACATAATAATAATGTTTATTTTAGAAAATGCCACAATTATTTGTATAAAAAATAATTACAACATGTAATAAAATGACGTCACACACAATTATATTTCAAAACTGATGTTTAAAAAAATCCTGAACACAATGGGGTTCTAGATCTACAAGTATCTTTTTGATGTTTTTTTCAATTGATTGCTACTAACAAATGTGGAATTGGCCGCGGTGGTAGTGCGCCCGACTCACGATCGGAGGGCCGTGGGTTCGATTCCCGCCTTCACCAGATATTTTTCTCGAGATAATTTATCTGGTTGAAGCTGGGATGATTCTGCAACCGTGTTAGGAATCACACGTTAAAAGGTAAGACCTCGTTAGTCCTTAGCTCGCACAAGTTTCTCAACTTCTGAGAGTTGTCGTTCGTATGGGGGCGACAGCTGATTAACGGAAAAACAGATTTTA